AGCACGCGTCGTATGCAGGCCTTGGATCATGCAGTCTCGGTGCTGCTGGTCCACTGTCTGTCTGGCAGGTGCAGACGCCGCTCGCGTCTTCATTGTGACGAGCGACACACGTCTGCCTCCATCGGACCTCCGCTGGGTCCGGTCCGTGCTCGCCACCGGAGCGCGCGAGCGACTGGCGCTGCGACCGCGGCAGACAGACGCGAAGTGGCCTACCTTGCCACAAGCTCGGCAGGTCCTCTTGACGGCCCTGCAGTCGCCGGCGCTACGGTGAGCTTCACCACCGCAGCGGGGGCACGTCTTCTCAGCCGACCGGTCTCTCGGGCGACCGCGGCTGCGCTGGTACTGAGAGACCTTCGCCAGGGTCGAGCCAGCTGGCTCACGAATGGCTGAGCTGTTGGAGGCGGCATTCTCTGACGCTCGGGCGATATCCACTGCCTTCTGAAGCGTGAGATCCGGCTCTTCCAACATTCTGCGGCGTGCTTCTTCGTCTCGCGTGCCGACAACGACTCGATCTCTGAACCTGTTGTCCTGGCAGTGGTGACAGAAATCACAGAACGATGCAATCTCTTTCAAGCCACAGAGAAAATCGTCCACTGTTTCGCCCGCTTCCTGTACTCGCATGTAAAAATCTCTCCGATCAATGATGACGTTACGCTGGCGGCGCAGATGCGTCTGCATCGCCGTGATCGTGGTGTTCATATCAGCGTCTTCGGGGATGGGCAGGCCGTACCTGACCACCCTGGTCCAATCGTCATCAAGCAGAGCGAGTAGGGCTGCCTTCTGCTCGGGCTGGGCTAGCCTGTTGACGCCAGTCAGCAGACTGTAGCCGTGAAATTTCTGTCGCCAGGATTCAAACTCCTTCAGTGACGCCGATGACGACAGCTGTGGAGCGGGAGTCGCTGATGCCGGCAGTCTGGGCGGTAGATTGACGGCTGCGTTCGTATCGGCTGGGGTGGCCGCTGCAGTAGCCGCCGCGGCTGCAGCGCCGGCCCCTGCCGCCGGCCCGGCCCATATCCGTTCCATCGCGGCCACCATACGCTCCTCCCGCTGCTGGCTTTGCCGCTGAGCTTCTTGAGCCAGCTCCAGTTGCTGGGCGAGGAGTTGGGTGAGGGCTCCCAGGTCCACCGGCTTGTCTTTCTCCGCCATTGCGAGAAACGCGCGCGAAAACCGACGAAAAAATGCTACATTTAATGATAGAAAGTAAATTATACCGATCGCGCCATGTTATGGTTTTACATTTAAGTCTACGTTAATAATGGTTCGATAGCAAATTAATTATCGTCGCGATTCCACGGGCGGCCGGGAACCTGCTCGGGCGGCACCGGCGGCAGCCGCCCAGCAGACGGGCCGCCCAGCTGGGCTGCCGCCCACATTTGCACCGCGCTTCTTACCGCTGATTTATGATCGATTCGTGCCAAATTTTGTGTGAAGGCTTAAAAATGTACAGGCAATCTACTGTTCAAATAAATACGAAAATCAAGTGGTAAAATTAAATGATTAGGGTGCAAACACTTTATGTGACTATGACGTTTCCCGCGTCGGCCGATCCCCGCCTCTGCCGGCGACATCTTACTCTAAGCAAGCCACTAACTGCCAAATTTATGGTAAGATTAACTAGAGATTCTCATAACACTACAATGTCGTATAAAGGAAAAAATAGGAAAATCGGCCAGTGTCTCTTAGAGCTATCCGGCGTATAAACGCAAAATAATCACTATAGCGAATTTGATCACGTTTAACCTCATTTGATCTTGAATATATTGATCTAGATTCTAGGGCCATGAAATTGGCACACGATAAGCTCCCCACCACCCCACTTACAATTCAAATTCCGTTTTTTTCTTAAATAGGTACCCTTTTTGCTAAACCGGGCTTTTCTCCCCTAGCGCTGGGAGAGTCAGGCCTATTTCCTTTTTGCAACCAAAGAGAGGCGCTGCCCGGAGAATGCCCAATTTCATCATTAAAAAAACTGGCTAACGATGACCAGCTATCTTCGTGGCTTAGTAGTAAGTGTGCCGAGTGTACCCACCTCGAAATCTAAAGGTCGCTGGCTCACAGCGGGTCAGCCTGAACCCTGAAGCGTTTAACACGCATTTGTTTTTTAAGTAGCATCTGGCCAGCCGGCAACTGTCGTGAGGGCTAATGTTCGTATCTAGGAGTAACATTTGGCCAGTCGGCAACTGCCGTGAGGGCTGTACATATTTACGCGTGTTAGATTAGGTCAGGTCACGTCAGGTCAGGTTAGGTTTGCTTTGGTTTGGGGTAGAAAGAAGCATCTCCGGGTAGCGCCTCTCCTTGGTTGCTAAAACGAAACACGCGAGTGTCAGACATTACGAAGTCCAAAAGACAGTTACGCAGACGTCGGCCCATTCTGGATTTTTTATATGATTTAGCTTATGTATAGGAGAATAAAATATGTAAAAATCAGCAAAATCGAAGGGTACCCATTTTTCAGAATATCAAAATTTATTTTTTGAATTTTAATTAAGTTCACTAATTAGTTAATTACGTCAATATTGTTATCCTCAAATTAAAGCGTGACGTATTCCCTCCATTTCACACTTTGTCTCGTGGTGATATGTCTAAAACTTCAATGGTTATGACGCTTTAAAGATGATAATGTGCCTTGCCTAAGTCAATGTTTGATGACGTATATCTCCGAAACGTGATGTCATATCTTGACAAAAATATGTCTCCTTTCTTTTCACATGTAGATGAGTAGTTTCACAAAGTTTCGCAAAAATCGGAGGAGGTGAGGTTCAAAATGATCATTTTTTGTCCCACTTGACGTGGAATGCCCCGTACCTGTTTATTAGTTTTCTTTTTTTTTAAGGATGGCGGTCACTGTAAACTCTGTAAATATTCTCTAACGGTACCGCTATGGCTAAATTGGACATTTAATATTACCTGAGGGAAATTCACTCTACTAGGCGAAATTATCTCCCCATTTCCCAGAACCCCACCGTCCGACTCTGCCCACTTTTTTACACCCTTCTAATTAAGCAATCATCTCTTGTCTGATGGAGTTTCGCCTAGTCGCGACCTTCCAATCGTTACGACCACGACAGTCACGATACGGGTACGGGCGTTGACTCACGGTAAAATGCGCAAGGCGCTGCCGTGTGACGTGTGACTGGGACGACCGGTGACGGCCTGTCACGGCCGTGTTGTTGACCTGTCACCTGTCGGAGTAGCTGTCATCCGTCACACCTACGCGTAAGGTCATCAGAGAGACGGGGAGGGGGGGGGGGGTGCGCCCAATTGTAAGGATTGTTGGTGGCAAGGATGAATTGTGGTGTGACGAAAGTTTGTGAAATGGACGCAGTATTGAAGGTGCTTCAGGTACCTACTTAGCAGTAAACGGCATGCAACTGATATGGCTTAATTTTTGCTACCGCTTAACTTTTTCCGGAATCCTGTCTGAACTATTTGCTTCCTGACCTTTTGCTGACTATTTTTCTAGGTAAGATGCGTCAATAAATTTTAGCCTGTTTTGACAAGCTCTTCTGATAAGCCTATGCCGAAGCTGTTTTACATTAAACTCATACATATATTCTGAAATCCCTCAGAAACGGAGTTTTTTTTTGTGGAAACTCAAGCACTGCCATCAGTTTTCAGTGGCTAAAGTATACTTCCTCTCCATCCTCTCTCTCTCTCTCTCTCTCTCTCTCTCTCTCTCTCTCTCTCTCTCTCTCTCTCTCTCTCTCTCTCTCTCTCTCTCTCTCTCTCTTCCTCTCCCCAGCCCATATTCCTTTAACCTCTACCTGCGGCGCCAACTTCCATCTCCATCGCTCACTCTATGCAACTTTAACCCAAGCTGAAGCTTGCGAGCGCGAGAGAGCCAGAGCGTGGACCCCTTGTCTCGTCGAGAAGGCGACGGTCCACCCTGGAACTCATCCTCTTACGACTCGTACGAAATGACCCGTTGCCGGCGATTGGAGCGAGGAAGATTCGCAGGTCGAACGGCACACGCCATCTCGCGAGTACCGAGCTTCTTGACCTTTGCGACTCGGCTCCGAGTGACTCGAGCTCCTATTCCTGTATGACTCGGGTCGCTACTTCTATTGGACTTCAGTCACTACTCTTGTACGACTCGAGATGTTATTTCTTTACGGCTCGAATCGTTCCACCCAAATGACTCTAGTCGCTACTACCCTACGACTGGATTCGTTCCCCCGAACGACTCTAGTCTCCGATGGCGGCGGTCCGTGGCTAGGCAGACTGAGCGGCAATTTTAATATTGGAGCGCCTTGGCCACCGTCCATTTGGCCGCGGAAGACAGGCGACCTGGCCGGCCGGCGAGGGTGGACACCGACACCCCCCCCCCCCCCACCGGAGGGGGGGGGGGGCAGGTAGTGGATCAATGCGGCCCGGATCAGACGGAATCGACACCGAAGTCAGAGTCGGAGGGGTTGGGAAGGAGAGGAGGCCAAGTGGAGGGACGGGTTGGAGAGATCTGACTGGTGTTTCTAATGGATTGTTTAAGAGTTCAACGAATGGGAGTTTGATGAGGATCTCGTGGGGTCTTATTTTGCATTATTTTACTAGATGGGATCAGATCAGTTCTGCTGCAATTTAACCTCATCACTCTGCCCCACCTCTACCATCCCATTGACATTTCAGTTTTTCATACCCCCATACCGCCGTCGCATTACGCTCGTATTGTCTTGTGATTATATTTATACCACCTACCTTCCTCTTGGGTTGTCTTAACCTCATACCATCTTAGTGTTACCTTCGTTTTATCGGGTGCTTATCCTCATCCCTTGCATCCTTGTATCCCACCCTTCGTAATACCCTCGTATTGGCGTCTCAGTATGCTGATGACACCCTTGCACTACCCACATGTTTTTGTCTCTTCTCATACCAACCTTCTGCTACCCTCGTGTTACTCTCGTGATACCCTCGTGCAGCCCTCGTATTTACTAATACTTATCCTGCTACCCTCGAATTACCCCCGTATTATCCTCGTATTGCCACCATCTTTGTCTTTTTCTCAGCCGGAGAACCTGCTGCTGGCCAGCAAAGCCAAGGGCGCCGCCGTGAAGCTGGCGGACTTTGGTCTGGCCATCGAGGTGCAGGGTGACCAGCAGGCCTGGTTTGGTGAGTACAAGGGTCGGGGTACAAGCGAGTTACGTGTGGTGTACAGTAGTACAGGCGTGGTACACAGCGGTACCCAGCGATACAGTCGGGTTAGAGGCGAGACACATGCGATACATGCTGTTCTCGTGATATAGGCTCGGGAATACACAGTTACTTTTATGCGTAGCTAATAGTTAGTGTTGTTCAACCAGCTCAGTACGTTTATCGCATTATTTTATAGTATCCTCACTAACTGATAAAAATGGCGGCGCTGCATTCCAAAGCAAGCGTCGCTTGCAGCATCATAACCTGTCAATTCATCTTCTATCGGTGTTCGGAATTTGTTTGGTGGCGGCGATGCGACCTGGGGCGCCTCACCATCGGCCTCCGTCCAAAATCGATGGACCGTAGCGGTGAGATACGCGCGCGTTTCAGGCCTGATTGGCGCCCAGAAAACGCGCCAGTGACGGTTTCGGAGAGCGCGGGAGGGCGGGAATGCTGATGAGACGATCAGCTTACGTGGCGGCCGCTGATTGGACGAGAGGCCGATTTGGGCGGAGCTGATTGGAGCCGCGCCCCAAGATGCCCGCGGCTGATTGGTGAAATATGTGTCGTTGAACGACCCAAGCCGACGGCGGTGGTGTTACGTTTCTCCATCAGAGGCCAGACACAGTTTTTGGGGTTATGGCGTCGTTCGCCTGTGGTATGGTCATCTGTAAAAATTGCAATCTTCTTTTCATGGCCACGATGAAATTATTTTGGGCTGTAAAGCAGTCGTCGTCTAGCCTTGTAATGAATGCTTTTTGTCAACTACTTCGAGATACAGTAGTGTTGTAGGAAATGTCTGATAAGTTTATTTCAGCTAGGTGTAGAATAAACTCATCAGCATGCCCTCAGAATGGTTTGACCTTTAGCTACAACCGTTAGCACGACAATTTAAAACTACTCCATCCATGACAATGGAGCAAACTTCACCTCGATAGTAACACAAAAGGGCCGATCCATTTCTCACTTAGCCCGTCAACACGGTACCATCTCTCAGTAGTGACACAATAGGACGTCCTCTATTTCTCAGCCGCCTGGTTAGGAGAGTCTACCCGTGTCCACTGTCGCTGAGCAGAGGCGGCGGCGGGGGGGGGGGGGGGACCAATTCATTAGTGGGACGTGTTCCGGGCGTTTCCGGACGTGTAATCGGCTCCGGTCCGGACTGATACGAGCTAAATCGCCCGCGGCTCGGCCAGGACGGCTCAGATATGGAATCCACGTCAGAGGGTAGATTCTGGTAGCGACTCGGGTTCTAGATCCGGCTACGACTCTATCTTTGGCTCAAACTCAGGCTAGGTGACTCAAGCCCCGACTTCCCATCCAAGTGCTGTCTGTACTTGGGCTTAGTTCGTAATTCAAATCCCGCTTTTCCTAGCCCAAACTGATTCTGTTCCTATACTCTGTGCTGCTTTATTGCTTCCTGTATCTTGCTCCTGATTTGAGATTCATATTTATTTCAACTTCTGTCATTTATTTGAAAGTCGTATCCTTATTTGCTCTCCCATAGGTAGAGCAATATGATCAGCGTGAAATAGCTGCTGGAACAGCAAATAATCCTGAAGGATACTAAAGCTTACACAAACAGTAGACTGGCGCAAACAATAAAGTAAATCCGGAAATGGCACATGCAATTTAACATAGATAGGTACCGAGAATGTCTCATGCGCTGCCACCACCACAGGGTAGTAACTACCGAGCGCAGAACACCAGACAGGGTCATCAGTTCCCAGGGGACTCGTGCCCTGACCTGGCACTGGCTGAGTCAGATTGGATGACTGGGCACCTGTCACCGGGGGGTCGTCAACCCCTGGCTGCACGGACTCGTGGGTACTGGATGATGAAGGTACCAGATTGTTCGGTGACTGGTTCGCAACCGTGTTTCGTTTCAGGGGAGTTCTGGCTAGTCTGGGATAGAACGGATAGTCTTGTTTAGACTTCACAGTCTAGGGGTAGACTAGCTAGTCGCGTAGCATCGATCGTGAATAAAACTCAATCATGTCTGATTATTTACTAGTCGCGTACACTAACTGATCTACGGGGGAAGCTGACGGGTCTGGGTCTGGGTCTGGGCCTGGGCCTGGGCCTGGGCTGGGCTAGGGAATGGATTGCGAAAAGGTAGGCTGTTGGGCGTTGCTGTCATGAAACTGTAAATCTGCGAATTGAGATGACGGTTAGACGGGTTAGACGGGTACGCTAGTACAAATGCCGGTGGGCTCAGAGTTGCTCGTTTCTTTTTTTTAGTCTGTTTTCAATAACTTACATGCATTTGATAGTATTTCTTTTGCCAATAGTTTGGGATCTTTGCAGTCAACGGGTGATCGAAGGCGCTGCTTTGAAAGTTCAATGCTCCGCTAAGGGAGCTTGGCGGCAGATATCAATTTGGATTACGACTACACTTTGAGCCCACCAATGCATTGGTGATGGCCGATGGCCGTTCCAATTACTATCGGTTTCACGCACATTTATTAATTATGCTTTCGATAGGAGCACATGATAAGTGCAGCTTTCCTTTAAAAGGAAACGCCACGTTTTCCACGCACATCCATTTAAACCTGTTATCGTCTTTATTGCCTCAGGGCCTTTCTCTTGACCCACCCACCATCCATCAAACTCTCCATCCTTCCGAGGCCATTTTCTCATCACGAAGCGGACTTACCCCTGCCTTGGGGATGCCTTCCTTAATGACATTCCTTACGCAGACGTTTTGGAATGCGTCTCCAACTATTCACTCGCCGTTCGCGCGTTCGCTGGAAAGCTGATGGGGGCGCTCCCCACGTCTTTGCCGGTAGATTAAAGGCGATCTGTCGTGGTCCGACGACCTCCGTGGGGTGTGTGGGACGATCTAATGACTTCTGCCAAAATAGAGCAGCCGCGATAGAGCTGCCGAGCCGAACGCAGTTGCCGCGATGTTCGTTTCCGATGGGACTTTGCCCCGGGGCTTGGCTGTATCGATCGCGTTCCGGATGGGTGTGCGGAATTTAGGATAAGCGTGGGTCTAGGCGATTGATTGATGCCGATCGAGATGGAATTGAAATTGATTGATTGAGGTTCGGCGCCAATGAAACTAGGTATAACTCTACTTGGGGGGGGGGGGTACCTGGAACCTCTTTTGCTTTGATCACCATTCGTGTGATTTTGGTGTTCAAAGTTGAGTACCGTAAACCGGGGTGAGTTGATATGGGGTGGTGAGTTGATATAAATTGCTCGAAAAATGTTAAAATGTGTGATGCTCATCCATTTGTAAACCAATTTTCAGTTTTATTTTTCTGTGAAGTGAAGCAACCAATAAGTGATGCATATAGTTGAGAAAGGCATGCATGTGGTGCAGTGGCTTCTTAACACATTACTTTTTTCAAAGTCCTTTTTTTCTTCTGATTTTGAAACTAAGGAAAAGTCCCCACCCTACAGCAAATACGGTGGATATTCATGGAACAACATGCACTGGGAAAGAAACTACCATCAATTTACTGTTGATCCCAGGTAGTTTTGGGTTTCACCTATAACAACGCTTTTTTATAATTTTAAGAAAAGTGACAGGTGGTGAGTTGATATGCCATCAAGTGGTGAGTTGATATGCATGATACGAGCTGATACGAGGCTGGTATGCATGCAAAGTAGCATGAAATATGGGTCTGCAGGTAAGACAAAGTCAATTAGACCAACTCTTCACCTTTTCTCTCCCCATATCATTCCATCAACCCCCAAAAGCTTTAGTTTTTTTTTTCTGAATGCTTGAGACGAGGCCTGTTAGTATCACTGATGTTAGTTGTCGGACTTTCGTCCCCGTCTTTAGTTGAGATGTTAGTTTCACAACGTTTCAGCCAGTAAATTCTCCGGCCATACTCAAATCTGCGTCGATAGTGGAGTGGTTAGAACCGTGTACCATCACCGGGGAAACCCGAGTTCGATTCCCGCTGACTACAGGAGCTTTCGTACGGTTTGACGCGTGCGGCGCAACGCCACCAACATCCAGGTCCTTCTGAGGGGCAAAGAACACCTGACGAGTGACGACGGCCGGAGAGTAACTGGCCGAAACGTTTTGAAACTAACATCTCAACTCAAGACGGGGACAAAGGTCCGACAACTAACAACAGTGACCCCAAAGTATTTTTTCTGTGGACATACCTAACATGCAAAAGGCACAGCACAACTCCCTGTCAAGTCTTAAGATGGCTCCCTACAAGCTACAAAGGAACACTATAGAACACCTATATACATACAGATTAAAAAAATTGTTATAATTATCCGTAGTTTCGAAAATGACAGAACTGTCGTTTCTGTATGGCTAACAGCGCGGGAATTCTGATCTCGTGAAACTGATCAGTTTTCCTGCTTGGCAGTTGCCAACCGAGAATGAGTGACAAAATGAAATGGAACAAACAATATAAAGAAATTGACTGGTGTTTTAGCCCTCCCCGGATTCGTGTTTTGCCAGCGTTTAACATATAGGGGGGGGGGGTCCGTTGGAATTCCATCGTCGTTTGGCCCCTGGTGGAGCTAGAGCTTCGCGGAAAAAAACGAGCGTGTTGCCCGAGACGCGAGGAAGCTGATGATAACCAACTTTAAGGTCCTAGGTCATTGGTTAACCTTCCAGGCCAGGTCAATTACCCAGAAGTCGGGAAAATATGGGGTTATTTGAAGTTCGTAAAGCGCGGTTATTATTTTTTGGCGGCTGCTGATCACGAATGTCTTGTTAGTTTTGATCACAGATGTCATCGTACATTTAGGCCAGGTCAGGTCAGGTAAGATCAACCAGTAGGTGTCCTGCCGGCTATCCATAGGGAGTGTCAAGTGTCGACTACCACTGACGGTGTCGTAACATGTTACAAAGGCACTAGAACTACTTCGTAAATGATCAAATGCATGTTAAATTCGAAATCGGCCCGAAAAACTACCCTAGAAACATGTCAAACTCCAAAAAGTGAACCGAGGTCACCAAAGGTCAATGACCTGACCTGACCTTCAGGTGACCTTGACAGTTGACACCCACAATACTGCATGGGACCAACATCAATTACATGTTTGGACGTTACAATCACAAAAAGACTGGAAATGCGCGGATAATGTGAGCCGACTACGCCAAATCGCGATTCCGGCCAAGCGCGGTCTCGAGAATCAGGTCACAAGTCAAAAACCATTTGAGTCAGGGTCATGAAATTTTTAGAACATGTGTAAAATTGATAAACTCGAGAGTTACTGAAAGTTTCGTCGCGATCGGCCGCTTTTTGCGCGAGTTATGTGCGAAAAGCCGAGGTGGTCCGTTCGCCCGCCTATAAGTGCGAGGGTTAATTTTGGCTTTTGATGCCGAATTCTGTTTTATGTCGCTTATTTTACCTGACAGAATACAGTCCGAATTAGATTCGCTTCAATTCACTTCATTAATATTTTGTTGACTACCAGTCAACAAAAGCTCAGAAGTATATGTATTCTTTCATTTCAATCCACTATCTCTGTCAGAGGCATATCATCCTTGACCCGCAACTGACAATGTGTTTTAATTACAAGAAAATACACTTGTAATTCCAAAATATATTGCCAGTTTTGATACCGTTGGCTTGAGGACACGTGACTAGCCAAGTTCAGAATGTTCTAAGTAAAACTAAGTATCATAAAGCGAAAAAATGATGCTGCTAAAATCAAGCCATTTTGATAGCGCTGTGTTGGACATGATTGCGTTTTCATGAATGTGAGGTCTGCTGCCAAACTACTACCATTTTTCTGATGGTTTCTTTCAGGATGTGTTCTCTCATCCTTTTTTTAAACACTGGCATTTTATCAACTCACCTCTGAGCCTCTTTAGCCGAGAAATTTTGAAAAATCCAAAACCATATCAACTCACCACCCCCCAGGTGGTGAGTTGATATGAACTTTGGCGTTTTAAAAAAGGGGCTTAATATATACATTTTTTATTCATTTTTGCTGATTGCCTCCCCAAGGCATGTGCCATGAAACTGGCACGAGAAGAATTCCGTAAATGAATGTAGCTTTTAAAGAAATCTAGAAAAACCTCAAAATCCATATCAACTCACCCCGGTTTACGGTACTTGAAAGACCTGCCTGACCTGCCTAGCCGCTACACATCGCTTCCTGAACTGAACTTCTCGCACTCCCTTCCAAGCGTTCCTGCATTCCCTGGAATTTCACCTTTCAACCTGCACTTGCACCTCTCGCGTACCCCGAGCCAGAGCCTTCCCCATCCCTTCTCGTCAGGCCGAGGTCAGCGTGCGTGACATTTCCGTGCCCGGAGGCCCAGCCGCCATGCGGAAACGGTTCCAATTCGTAGTAGGCCGGAATTATGGCCGGTGTCGTCGTTAGGTGTGGTGCCGGCGTCGTGTGCCTTTGAAATAGTCACGGGTGGGATTAAATGAAGCTGAAAGGTATTGGAAGGTATTGGAAGGTATTGGAAGGTATTACTGGTACCTGGACCCGAAGAAGAGGGAAGTGGGGTATCCATTTTAGGATTAATGTGTTGGTCTAAGGATGACGAGTGTTTTGGAATGGAGTTGGGTTTTTATCTGTTTCCGGAAGTAATTTGTGTGATGGTGCTTGATTCGCGATTAAGTGGAGTGTGCTGTATGCAGGGAATGCGCACATTAACATAATTATTGAGTTTGTATCCTTGCAGGGCTCGGTTTTGTTTTGTAGATGGAGGCTGAAGGAATAAGTCATGTATTTTACATCGCATTTGAACATAACACTCAGATTATTTTTTAAATTAATGGTATTCTTGTAATTCGTTGACCCATGTTTTTCAATGCTTGTCATTTGTGCCAAACACAAGATAAAAACAGTGATGCTTCCATCATTGTTTCTAGCGGTATACCTTATACTGGTTCTGTCGTCAATAGACACTGGCACCATCTACTCGAGCTCGAGTCCTGCGTCACCGCGCGTCGCGCGCCATCTGTTGGTGACCTCTGTATGTTCTGTTTGCAGGTTTCGCCGGTACTCCCGGCTACCTATCCCCGGAGGTACTGAAGAAGGAGCCGTACGGCAAGCCTGTGGACATCTGGGCCTGTGGTGAGTGTTACAGAGGAGGGATGTTAGTTTGTCCAGTGTGTTGCAGGAGGGGGATTGAGATCTAGTGTGTGTGAGGGAGAAGAGAGAGCTATGAGGGAGGAGACGGAGTAAAGAGGGGGTGGGACTTATGCCGAGGAACGGCGCTACACGGTAATAAAGACGGCAGGACCGAAAAAAATGGCTGGTAAATGACGTGAGCTCGCCAAGCAATTATTGTCAAGTTGTAACAGTGTTAGTTAGAAAAATCGACAAACTTGCAAGACGTTGTTCCCACTGGCGTGCTAGGCGTAAATAAAATTTAATAACATTCATATTGTTCCAAATTTCGGGGCCGAGACGACGCTGTCCCCTAATGCCCACATCTCTCCCCGGTCGCACATTGGCCGGGCAGTTTTAGTATCCGAGGCGCGCCTCTGGGAAAGGCAAATGGTGCGTCTCAGGCGCCGGCCTCCGCCCGAGTCTGGTGACCTGCATTATTGAGGCGGACACTGGTAAAAGTCAGAGGTCGCGACATGTCTGAGAGGCGCGGCGGGAGGTGGCAGAAGAGGGGAGGTTTGGGTGGGGCGGACTCGTTTTAGAGCTGTAAAGGCGTGCGTTACTTAGGATGCGTAAAGGTCGTGTCACAAAGTAGCTTAAAAATCCGTCGTACTTTTTCTGCTGCTTTAGTAACTCTCTTCCTTGGAAACATGTTTTGGCAGTACTGGGCTCATATTTCCGCAAAATTTCAGGGCTTGGTCAAAGGCATTTATTTTGAGTAGAACTAGGAATTGATGCGGCAGCGCGTTTTCGCTGTTTTATGTGTGTGTGTGGGGGGGGGGGGGTAGGTGGACTTCCTCTGATTGACGACAAACCACAGAGTAACTGACATTTACCCTGATAACAAAAATAAAATCTTTCCTAACTCGTGGCGCAGCTTGTCGTCAACCACGTCCCCTCCACGTGCCTTTATCAGCCTGGCTCCTGTCCATGCGCCACCCATCTGTTCCTCCACGCAGCTGGTGATACAGCTGCGAGTCTGCTGCCACTGTGACCTTCATAACTATGACCGGGTGACCTCCTCTGACCCCGTCTGACCCCATTTGACCGTCTGTTTCGGCACTATTGTCTGCCTGCCGTTGCCAGGCTCGGTGGGACCATCTGTGCCATCGCCCTCCTTTAACACAGTTGTGGTCGGCGAGGGGTCTGCACACTTGTGGCGACAAGTGGTAGTGTCACGAAGCTAGGCTGGGGTGGGCTAGGGAGATGTGGGCATGGTCAAGTTGATGATGTGGTTGGTGGGAGGCTAAGGATTGTGATTTTGAGGCACTTGATGTGTGCCAGTTGCTGTAGATATTTGGGCAGATGATGGAGGGATTCCAAAGTTTTGAAAGAAGCACGATGTTTTACGCTTTATGGGATCACTTTAGGAAGTTTTTATCGCTTATTTTCTTATGGAGTATCGCGGATCATTTCGTCGGCCTCCTTTTCGATGTCACGCCAGCCAGAAAATTGTATCGCTGTTGGTTCTCAACACTGAAACATCCTCTACACGATAGAGGCGTTTTCATCCGATATATCCCAGCGTCTGAGAGCTCAGGAATAGCCTGTCCGGACCATCACCAGCACTGGAGTCCGAGCTGGAGGATTAAATCCGTCGGAGCGCGCTCGAGGAGCTGTCTGAATCGATCTGAACCCTGCCGACTCACCGGAGACGTTTCAGATGGAATGAGTAAGGTGTGCTCTGTGATTACGCTCGAGTGGGTCCCGGATGGATGTGGGGTAGATCGATCGATGGATCTGGGTAGATCTAGGATTAACTGGTTATTGGATTCGGATGAGTTGAGTTTAGACCGCCTGACGCGCGCATCCAGTTGCACGAGTACGCCTAGTGTGTACCCATGCTTAGGTATGTATTCTATGCCTATGTATCCTTTGCTTATACTACACAATAAACTTTGACCCAGCTTGAGCTAGACCTCGTACACCGATGAGCTTCAGCCCACCGCTCCCTCCCCCGTCCCCTCCCCCAAGTGCTGCGAAATGCTGGATATTGACATGCCAGAGCGCGCCTCTGTTGGCGTCTGCCGGTGATGGAATTCAATAAGATCGCCCTCACGGTGTCCCAGGAGACAGCACGAACCACCCAGCGGTCGGTGGTATGTCTTAGCACGACTCCAAACTGGGATCGTTTGTCAGGGATGTGCGGCTGCGTGTGCTCTATGGGAAAGTTGTGCCGCCGAATTTTATCCATGGACCTAGGAACGAGACAAGCGAGGCCATCGAAGGAAACTTTGTTGGAATTAGCCGACTTCGTTCAGACTGTAGTTTCGTTTTCTAATTCTACCGAAAGCCATAGCCGTTTGGTCAGAATGTATTGGCATTTCCCGTGCGGTATATTCCAGAAGGTTCCCTCGACGGGAGAAAGGCCTGGCTCATACACGAAGTTGGAGCAAAGTAATTTAACTGCGCTGATCCCGGCCCGCCGACACATTAGGGGAATTAGCTGCTGGAGCTGCATGCCGTCGCCGGGACACTGTTGGAGCGTTGTTTGAATTTCACTGGGGAGGGGCGATTGGACACCTGGGTGCTGCTTGGGTGAGGGGGAGATCTATGGAATGTGGTTGACATGATCGCAGAGTAACACTTCTGGGCATACTTGGCGAAACACAACTACAAACACCTTTCGTAGGTAAGTACCCCTTTCATAGGTCTCAGGTTTCTGTCTCTGTCTTTGGGTTTCAGTTTTTCTATCTATTTTTTCTCTCTCTTTCTCTTTCCTTTTCCCTCTCTCCCTCTCCCCGACCATAACGATGCATCGGCGTGCTTTCAGAGTGACTAAACCAATCACCGACGCTCATTCCTACTGCTGACGTCATTAGTCCAGACCCGCTGACCAATCAGCGTCCTTCTACGCAAAGCGCCGCTGCATAAGACCGTTGAAAGCCGCTCTGTCAATGGCTGCCTACTCTAGTCAGCTGCCTAGTCTGGTCAGCTGCGACGGAAGCTCATTGAGTGCGCTCCGCCTGCTGACGAGACCAATCAGGGTGTCTGGGACATGTGTCGACGTCATTAGTTCTTTTGTCGGCTCGGTCTGCGGCTGACGCGGGCCCTATTGAAGCTGCAATGGGATGAAAAGATCGGCTGGATGTGCTGCGATTGGGGAGATAAAAGACTTGTGTGTATGAGAAGCGTGCATGAGTTGGTCTTGATAGGCCTTTTTTGGTGACAGGTTCAGGCGGAGCTGTTATGGACTTGGTTGCCTTCAGCCTTACTTCTGTTTACCATATGTTTCGAATGTAACATTCGTCTCCTCTCCGCCTCCTGTCTTTTCTTTCCCCTTCTCTTGATTTTCTCTCATTCGCCTGTGTTGTGCATATGCTTCTATCCATCCATCCATTTATCAATTTATCTTCCTATATTCTGTCTCCCTGTCCGATCTCCCGCTTTCCTCTATCATATTTGCCTTTACATCCACCACCGCATCACGGTGCCTATATATGTTACCCATTGTATCTTCCTACCTTGTTGCCCTCACCTCCTTTCACGTTGCATTCCGGTCAGGGTGGTTTGAGGAGAGGAGAGACTCTGACAGGGACAGAAGGGGGAGCTGGGAGAGTTCTTCTGACCCATCCCAGATCCCTCCGTGTTCCATCCATCGCTGACCTCCCCCCGTTCGTTGCCCACCATCCACCGTCCGTTGTCCGCGTCAACCGTCTACCATCCTCGGTCCGCCGTCCAGCGTCCGCCATCCACCGACCGTCGTCCGCGTCAACTGTCTACCTTACACCGTCCACCATCCACCGCCCACCGTCCACCATCCGCCGTCCACAGTCCACCGTGCGCCATCAAGCATCCACCGTCCACCGTCCACCGTGCGCCGGTGGCTGGCCGGCAGCGTCCCAGCACCCAATGACGCCTGGCTCCCTGCCAGTACGGTCAGCTATGTGCCGGCTCCCAGCCACGCCACCGGCACAGAAACACAACAGGCGCAGCGCCAGCGTCTCACCCGCCCTCCCCGGACCAGGAGATGGGTTGCTAGGAGGGTCAGGGGAGACTTCTGACCCGACCAGTGACCCTGGGTCATCCCAGAGACTCTCCCGCCCTCCCCAGACCCTTCCCCAGGAGATGGGTTGCTAGGAGGGTCAGGGGAGACCTCTGACCCGACCAGTGACGCTCCAGTGACTGCCCCAGTGACCGTGACCGGTCCTTCAGACCCTAACTGTGAACCCCCTGACCTTTCAGTGGCCCTCATGTGTCTTGGACCTTTCCATCGGCCATCCTGGCATTGCCATCAGTTTTAATGCTTCTATCAACTTTCCTTATGAGACCCTTTCGGGTGCTTTTCTGACCATCCCATGGTGGCCCTTCTGACCCTACCTAAGACCCTATCTCACTTTGACCTGCGACTGGTACGTGACCTGAACTTCTGGCAGCAGCTTCTGCTAATGGGCGCTACAGAATATTCACAATGAGATGGAACGGGACGGGACTGGGTGGCTCTGCATGGCGTCGAGTGCGGGAAGGTGCATTACTCGCTGACATGAGTCAATGATGAGAGAAATATCCCATCCTTGACCTACTGGTGGACTGTCGCGTGTGACATAGCCGCATGTTCGTGATGCCGGATGAGCTGGAAATGTTAGTAGGTCACGTCACTAAAAGGAATTCGCTGATGCTATTTTCTATTTTCCATTGTATTTTGTTTCGTGATGTTCTCTGGAAAACTTCCAGAGACTAGCGATGATCTAATTGTG